AGAAAAAGAAAAAGAGATTGAAAATATGGTGTTTGAAAGTGTTAGATATTTCGACGGATTTTCTCTCTTCCATATCGGTAGCTGTATAAAACCCAACTTTACACAAACTTTTCGGACGGTTGTAAAAAGAATTAGCCACGGATCAAAACTGTAGCTAATTTTCTACAGATAATGTCCGTAGGCGAAAATCTTTCTGGTCCGTCGGTAAAACCCATTTTTCTTGTAGTGTATGTGGTGCATATACACATACACACATTCTTTGGAGTGACATTTTTATTTTTGAGTGTATGTGATGTTCAACGGCAGTTGACTCAGCAGTGCTTCCCGTCAAACTTTAGCAATGCTAGCAAACCAATCTGCAAAAACAAGTTAAATCTACTAGCACTACTAAAACTATCAAATGAATATTTCCCTTTGTAATTCTAACGACTAAACTAATCTTAAAACTAGTGTAGATGCAAGTATCTGGGTATCGAATCTACTCTTTCCAAGAATTGAGTACTTGGCTACAAACAAGAAACAACGATGAAGGATGATGTCGTTTATGAAGGGATTGATTGATTGCAGAGATTTGATTGATTGAGAGTAAATATGATTGAAGTAAAGAAAGTGCAAATAAAGTAAAGCAAGCAAGATAAAATAAAGATTTTGAATATGGAGAGAAAAGCGGGGTATTACTTCGTTTCATAGGTAAGTGTCCAAATTAACTACTCATGCTTGTGTCCCATGCATCCAACTATAAATCATAGACAATCAATAATTGGTGATGAGTTCCCTTCCTCTCGACCCAGGAACTTGACCCCAAGAAGTATTCAAGACCCAGTATCTCTCATCTCGATGCCGTCATGCAAGTAGTGAATTACTTCTCTTTATACTATTTGTTAACTACCTTCTCTCTCTCTCGATGCCAAGATATGCTAACGGGCGTATGAGGCTCGAAAGTCTCTACACATGCAAAAATATCTCTGTTTTATTTATTGTGAAAAACAAAGAGCAAAAACTATTTTAAGTGATCAATCATAAAATAATTACCTTTCTAGCGTGGCAAACATGGAACACTTGTAGTAAATTCTTCTACTTACCTAATCCACTTGTAAAACCCATGAATCGATTAGCTCATGGTGATTGTGGTGATGGTGATAATGGTTGTAAAAGTAAAAGACAAGAATATGAAAACAAAAGATTAAATTGCATGAAAAGTAAAGATAGGATAAAAAAAATAAGAACTTGAACTTGAAAAGTAAATAGACTTGTATTAAAATAAATGGAACTTCTTCTTCAACATAAAATAATGTAAAACCCTAATGATGCTTCAATTTAAGGTCAAAGCATAATGAATTTCGTGGCTCTCCTCTCCTTATATAGGGAGGAGTCCTTCTAACCCTAGAACTCCTTGAAAATTGCTAGAAATGAGTTTGTAATTTATTAAATAACTTGCAGGAAGCTTCTGGAGCTGAAATTTGGTGGAGATCTTAGTCAAACAACGTGGAAGACTCAATCAAAATCTTAGGTCAAAATTCCTTCTAGAAACACGTCTTCCAAGAATCCCAAGAGGCCCAAAAACTGTCTTCAGAAACTGGGTCTGGCCGATTTTGACGAGTCTTTTTGTCCTGATTCCACCTCTGTTTTCTGTGATATATTTTGACAGTATTGAAGTAGGAAGTGAAAGCTTTCAAATGCCTATTTGTGCTTCAAAATCCGAGCTCTCTAACCCTTTTGTTTAATTGCGTCAAGTTGGCTACTTGAAATTGCCTTTTTACCGTATTTTGCTTCCTTTTAGCTTTTCTGGGCGAAATGCACCTACAAACACGTAATTCTAACAATACCAAGCATATCATATCATATCATAACTTGAGACAAATATACATGAGTTAAGGGGATATATTTATACTTTTGAGCGCTTATCACTAGTCGATTAGTAAATGAAGCTGCAGAAGAAAACGACACCTATACATGGATGGCAGAAAAACTTGATGAGTAGTCAAAAGAACTTAAGGAACGTAAACAAATTCTAAAATCAGGTACAACGACAGTTTTAGGATCAAACATTGTCGTGGAAACAATAAATGACGACTTTCAATCTCCAATTATTGATTTTCAAGATCCATTTGATATCTCTCTACCTACTGGTGATGCTTCTCAACATAATGCTTTCTCTCAACCTCTAGGTGATGTCACTCAAACTCTATTAGATGTTCCACTGTCTACGATTGGTACATCACATATAGTGCTCAAGAATCCGAATAAAGCGAAGACGAAAGGAAGACCTGCGGATGATCATAAAAGTAATTCCAGTAGAATGAAAGCTGATATTGAGATATCACGAAAAAGAAAAAATTTACAAGAAGGAAGACAATGTAAATGTTGTTTATTGTGGGGAACTGGCCACGATAAGCGGACGTGCCCTCAAAATCCAAATAGGAAGAAGAAGTAACAAAGTAAGTTCTTGTTAACATTTCTGGTTCTTTCAATTTTTTTTAATATTGTTTTGTTTGTTCTTAGAAAACATAAAAATTGTTTATTTTGAACAACAATGCAGAATTTTGTTGTTGCTGCTGTTTGGAGGTTTTTTATGATGAGAGACGACAACTTTGGACAAGAAAGAACAATGTTTAAAGCTGCCAAGTTGTGTTTAAAAAAGTGGGAGTTCACTGTTTAAAAACTCAAGTGATGAGGAAGATTATTTCTTTGTCCTACTTTACTTTCACTAAAGTTGTTACTTATAGGAATTGGTTTAAGATCATATATATATATGACAACTTACTGTACTTCTTTTTATTAATGGAAATGACAAAATCTTCCCAATTCTTCATCAATTTTTATTGAAATAAATTGCAAAGTCTGAGTATATTACTTTATACTTCCAGGGAATTATCTATCCCGTATAGGCGTGTGTGTTCTATGTAAGTGCAGTGAAACTATTTAGGTTTGGACATAACTGATTTCTCTGAAGGATCAATACTAGACTAAAGATATTTAAAACTTTTTTTTCATAACAAAAAGTTATAAGTTTTAATTGATCTTGGCGGATTCGAACCACCATCTCTTGAGATGACCAAAGACAATCTCAAGTGCTCTACCATTTGAGCTAAAGATCTTGTAGTGCCAATGGAAGCAAAAACACACAATCTAATTGTAGAATATGCAAGCAATAAGAAAAGAAAACAAAGCAATCACAAGTGAGCTACCATTTCAACTAAACATCCATTCATGTCTATTTTACCAAGCGATATGATTTTGAACATGTATTCACCGGGCTTCATCATGTAGCTCTCTTCAAGACGGTTGTATTGATATTTAATACACCTAAATCAAAGCATCGGTGAAGAAGTTATGTCCATTCAAGTATGCATGTGCAAAATGGTTGCTACTGCTATATATGTGCGCACAACTGCTATTGTACGCTACTGCTGATGTACACTACTGTCTGCAGCGCGTTGTTGAGTTGTTTTCGAACATATCCCACCTATTATAGAACAAAAAAACCATGGATACATTACCTGAAAAATCATGAATGAAGTGAACCTATAAATACACCATTGAGACATTTCATCAAACACAAAAACAACAGTAGTTAAATTGAATTTCTAAACCTAAATATACAAGCTAGACAAATGAACCTGAACCTATAATAACATCTTTTATAGGTTGAGAACAAAAAATTGGTTATCACATAAGAATTTGAATATTTGACTCTCAAAAACCTCTGTATAATAATTAGACTTTGTCTTCTCCAAAAACTTAGAATGTAAAATAGCTTTTGTTTAAATGAATACGATGAATCTTTTACAATGAGAAAACTAGTTGTTGCATTGTTCAAATAAATTTCCAAAAGAATTTCATTTTTTTATTAAGAAGAAGATGAAGGTAAAGATGTCGAGAGGTTAACTAAACATTCGCTTAACAAAGAAGACACGGATGGAGAACTACATGAAAAGTGTATCCTTTTAGCTTAATTTAATGCAAATTGACAGTTATGCCCTTATTTATTTCAATAGTTTTAAGTGATTTAAGTTCTAATCACATCCATTAGATTAAGAGGTATGGACGATGCAGATGTGGAGTGAAACGGGAGTGGGAATAAGTTGGAGTGGATGGAACGACCCCCTTTTTAAAATTCAAATTACCAAATGTTTTGTTTACAATGGTTGATACAATTATCCGCAAGGTATGTGATATTAGAGCGAATTGACTATTACAGTTTTCTATAGAAAATAACAATGTAGAGCTTTTTAAACTGAAAAAAATGCATTTGGTTGAACTCATTATGGCTGAACATATGGTGGCTTGGCTTAATAAACTCAAATTATCGGGAATTTCCATTTCAATTTATTGACATATGCTAGTTTTTAATTTAGAGATCTTTTCACAATTTCCCCACTTCTAATACAGTCAAACTTTTAAGGCTTTGTTTCAAACTCTTTTCATACAAATATATGAGCAACTCTTATCCATAATGTCCGACCAAGTAATCGTATGTTCAATGAAAATACAAGTGGAGGAAGACAGAAAGTCAAGTAGTGGTAAAGTAGTTAAAGAGTTGAAAGAAGCTAGACTCTACAGGCTTTATGAAAATGAATCACAGAAGTTAAAATGACTAGAACATTGAGGTAATCTATGACTAGCTAGAAATTGCGAAAGGCTATTTGCTTGCGCTATTTATAAAGTAGAATAGAGAAGTTTCTTTGTGTGAAGATACAATTTGTTCTTTTTTCTGTTAAGTTCTTTAAACATGCGTAAATCATGCGAGTAAATACATTTGATATGAGAGTTACCAGATGTTACGTATGATCATTCTGGCAGACATCTATCGATTTTTCACTAAAAAACTACACTGTTCTTTCATGAGTTAGTTTCTTATTCCCACTGATTGCATATATGTGTTACTTGTTTCTTCAATGGTTTCCTTTTTACTGCTAAATGCTATATATTTGATTATTTGGTTTTTAAAATTACTATTACCCAACAATTTTCTTAAAGCCTTTAAAATGAGATATTAGAGCAAATTGACTAATAGAACTCTGATAATTCTATTCAATCATTGCATAACTGCCGGAAAACAACTTATACTGGCAAGATTAAATTTTGAATTACTTAGGTTAGTGATATTAAATTAAAGGGCCATGAGCAGTACAGGGCATGACATCATCTTTGTTTCCATCCACAATGTCATCTTTTTTTCTGGCCATGATAGCATTGGAGTCATTGTAATTAACTAATTATAAACCAACATGAAATTGATATATTGTATTCAGGGGCCATTCACCATTTCCTTCCATGTATTCTTTTTGGTTAGCTACTTAGCTAGTTAGCTCTTTGTATATGAAAGTTTCTTTGATACTACTAATGTTCCGGTATGTATTTGTGTATAAATCAATATCTCTACTAGTAATTATTCTTTCAAATAACTGTACACAACCAAGAGCTAGAGGCAAACTGCCTACACGCACTTTTATATGCTTCTATTATTTTATGTTCAACGAACAAAGTCGTTCATGATGGCAGTGAGAAAACACAAAGAGCAGACGATTCTAAGTTTAGTATAGGTGTTATTTTAGATTATAGATCACATATAAGGAAGAGATCACTGTGATGAAAATGGTGGTGCAAGACCAATATGATTACACAAGCCATGAACTGGCAATGCACAAGCATTAGTGACTCTGGGCAAGATCCACACATACAACATTTGTTGGTAAGTATGAATCTTCTAGTTCTTGGGTATAATAGGGCCTCTCATTGCTTTAAGTAAAATTTGAATGAGTTGAACAATGAACTAAGTTGATAGTTTTTTCCTAAAAGGGCAACTCATAGTTTTTTCGTTCTGTTGTGTTGGGAATTCTTTGGTGATGACACAATAAAAGCAGTGAAATAAACATGTTTCATAAATAAGAAAACAGTGTAATTTTTCAGAATTGTATTGCATGAAGCTTCTTTTTAGTTCTTACTAGTATGATGTTCTAAGAAATAGCTTTACTTAATTACATTGAATGAATGAGGAGCAACTAGATAATCAAATGTCAGTGTGATCATTGGACTATGGGAGTTTAGAATGTGCGATGAATTTGCTTTACTAATAAATTGAAAGATACCATAGATGTTTCGTTCTTGTGAATTCTCCAATGCCTTATTGTAAGATATTTTCTTCAAATAATCAACATGATTTTATTTTTCGATAAACTTTTAGACATGCAGATATTATGTTGTTAAAATACATTTGATATGAGAGTTAAACCACATGTTACAAATGATCATTGTGGTATATAGTTTATTATACTCTTGGCTCATAGTGTTACTGAATTCCTCGTACTAACTATATAAACTTTCTGGAATTGTATGCTTTTGTTGTTGAATGATAATGAATGAAATGGTGATATTACCACATAATGATTGATGCTTATTAATGGTCATACCTCATATAAGATATTAGAGCGAATTGACAATTGGGAGTATGATCATTTATGGGCCGTTTGGGAAATAAGTTAGAAAGTAGAAAGACATAAGTTAAAATCTATGTAGAATTGGGAGAGGGCGGAAGATAGAATCATACAATTCTTGTGTTTTTCTCCTTCTTAAGGAGAAATGAGAAATCCAATTTTTAAAACTTATTTAGAAATGAATTTTGGTTTGTCAAAACTCTTGTGTAAGCTCTTATCTTAACTATGATATTTTCAATTAAGTTAAAACTCCTTACAAAAATTCCTTCCGACTTTTAACTTTCTCTTTATTATTCCCAAACGTGTAACAAGCAATTCTGAACCATCTCTGAAACACAAAATGGTGGTGTGTTTATGCTGGAGTGTTATTTAACCCATACTCCATAGGATTGAGTTGGGTGAACATGTACCATTGATCTATCCATATCATATATCATATATGATTTTAAGCAGTTAATATAATTTCTTTTTCTACAAAATTGATTGTTTTACACTGTTACTCTGACATAAAACATAATCAAATTGTAGATAATAGATAAACAAAATGCATGCATCCAATTTAACGTCCTCAGGTAGATAGGAAGGTTATAGCTCATTAGGCATTAGCTAGTGCATGGCGTTATTGGCGATGATGTTGTATACTTTGATATTCCTTACACAATGGTGTCCAATATACTAGAGGGGGTGAATAGGGTATTTAAAAAATGCTTAACAAAGTTAACCCCCAACAACTAATACTAAGGCAAACTGTCACAACTAGATATGCTTAGACAAACAAGATGCGGAAATAAAAGATTATGCTAAGCAAGATACTAGCAAGCTAAACACCCAACAAAGAATAAACAACTAACAAGCTAGAACATATGATAGGAGATGTAAAGCTATGGAGTTGGTTTTCAATCTCTACAAAAGTATCAACTCAACCTTCTATTCGTTAGACACTTGTTCAACTAGATTAGGATGATTGGATCAATCCTAATCAATGAACTAAGTGATCTAACTTCTAGTTCTAGATTTGTTGTGGAGTTGAGGGGGTGAGTAAAGAAAGAGGCACTCTCACCCTTTTCTCTACCACAATACAAATCAACTAGAAGATTGGTTTGATGAGATGTAGAGATGTTCCACAAGATAAACTACTAAGCATATAGATCTATACTACAAGCAAGAAAGCAAACCACAAGACAAAGATATATTGTGGTTCTGCCCAAGATTGGCCTACGTCCACTCTTCAAGTCGCCTCTTGCTATTAAAATAGATCCAAAGTCTCGGAACACGTCCAACCAACTCTACACAACTCCCATTTGTGTTGATCTAGTCTAACTTGAAAGTTGTAGAGATTTACCCTAAATCTATAACCTAGAATCCACTAGGGTTTGAAGTAGCTTGTCACAAAGCCACCCACCTTGAACTCCTTCTCAAGGATTTTCCACCAAACTTGTAGAGAACAATTTGGGTTTTTCTCTCTCTTGAAGAACTCACTTGATGAGTAGATAGAGAAGAAGATAGAAGCACTCTAGGGTTTATAAAGATACCCTATAACAATCACTCACTCTCTCTTGAATGGATTGGAAAGATATGGAGAGTTGAGTGGAAGGAAGATGAAGATGAAGATCTCTCTCTACAAAGAGCACTCACTAAGATGTGTTAATGGCCTCTTGAAA